GGAAACCCACTGTGACCCACGCATGCAGCTGACCCCCTCCCCACCCGCAAAAAGTTGGCTAAACAGGGCAATGCCAAATCATTTTATTCCCAAGCCAGAAGGCAAGCGACGCAGTTCGTAGGCATTCAGCCCGCCTCGTTGATGGTCTCAAAGCAGAGGGTTTGGCAGACTGCCATCTTCAAAATGGCCACTTGCCCAGGATTGGTCGAAAGAAGGTCGACTTGCTTTCCCCTTTTACCCCACTAGGAGGAGACTCACCTGACCTAAAATCAGCGCAAAAAAAAGTGATGCTCAAAACCACCACTGACGAAATGTTCGGCGGAAACGCACAACGTTCGGCCATCCCTCCGGCCGTTTGGGGCCTGAAACCATCCCTCCGGGGCAGCGGGCATGTGCTTGAGGCCCAGCTTCCGCATCTTGCGGCAGAGGTCCAACATCTTCTTCTTCTCCACGTCCAGCCTTCACAGCTCCCCAGAAATGGCTTGGAGCCTGGTGGTTTGGAGGTGTGGAGCTTGAGCACCCACTCCCAAACCAGGGGTTCAATTACCAATCCAAGCCACCGGCCGGCCGAACAGCCGAGGCTCGGCCAAAAGTACTGATAACTAGCCCCCTCTTTGCGGAAGTGGCATCCCTGACGTGTTTACTCGCAGCATAAGACTTTAATCAAAAGCCTAGGAAAGCCAGTCCTCTGAAGCAAGGATGTTAGGATTGCAGAGCCCCCTTTCTAGCGGCCAGTACCACTCTAGAATCCTGTTGGAGACGTCTGACCCATTGTAGGGCAATCAACAAGAGCCTTGAAATGTTGCTGTCATGAGAAAACAAACAGAGTGAGAACAGGAATCCCATATGTAGCGTGCCCCGTGGGAACCCCACAGCAAACACCACCATTGAAGCCCCTCCAAAAGCTCTTGGCCAGCAAGAAACATGATCCAAGGAAAAATGGATGTAGCCCAACAAATATGCAGGACTCCGCCCTTTCGAAGAGGAAAGCCGTCTTTCAAAGGGTGTCGGACAGTGTGCCAAGCTGGGCTTGATGGTGGAGTAGCCAATCTTTGCAAGCTAAGTCGTCAATGGCTGCGGCAAACCCGCTGATTGAAGGCGTCCCATGTTGCCGCTTTGAGCCTCATGTGGTGGTGCAAATCAATCTTAAGGTTGCTCAAAGGCACCTCCCACTAGTTGGTTACGTAATGGCTTCCTTCCGAAATCCAAAGCCAAAGCAGTTTTCATCTCAGGAAGGGCCATCGCGTTTGACTGCGGATCCCTTGCTGCAACGGAAGCAACCACAAGGCATATACTGTAGATGAACAACAAAGTAAGGAAGATTACCATTGGGTTTATGATTGAGGAACGGAAACACCTGAAAGCATAGGTGGCCTTTTGTGAAAATAGATGGCCACTATACTGTTGACACACTTTTGCGCTGAAAGTCTAGTTCCTTCTGGGTTCAACCAACAGGCAAGGGGTCAAAAGGTAAACTATTGAAAACCAGGAATTCTAGAGGCAAAATGTTCAGTGCCACGAGCAAGCCGTGGCCCTTAAGAGGCGCCATTGGCCACACCTCCTGAGATGGCCAACAAGTCCAAAGTGTTTGACCTCTAAAAATGGCGTTTGCCCAGTTTGCCCCGAAAAAGTGAACCGGTGCGAGAGAACTTGGGATTCATCGATCCGCTTCACAGAGCTCGCTTCGCTTCGCCTCTCCGCCAGCACGTGCTCCACGAAGCTCAGCCTGGGGGTGAGAAACCCCCATGAGAAACCCCTGCAAGCAAGCACAGCCGGAACACCCTTGCTTTGTTCGTTTAAGGTTTGCTACCAAGGGTTTGCACTTTGTACCTGTTTTGGGTCTGGGAAACATAAAGGGAGCCCCCTGAAGCGTCACAAAGCCTGAAAGAGGTGGCCAGTTGTTTATTTCCCTGCACGTGCTCAATAGGTCTGCAAAAGCAACAGATCATCCAGTCCTTGTGGTTTTCTTTGTGGCACATGTGCAGATTTAGCACCTAGGTGCAAAGTGAAAAAGCATCGCTTCCCACGTGCGGATTCAGCTCGCGGCTTGTTGAAGATCACTGCCAGCTCTCGCTCCAGCTTCTCCAGCATGTACGCCTGCGGGCCGTCGGCAAAGGCAGTAGGCCGGTAGGCGTCTCAATAAAACCAACCGCTTTGAAGAAAATGGGAGGGAGGGTGCGGTGGTGAAATATCTAAGAAGGTAAATGTATCTAGGCTCTAGGTATGTCAAGCTGCATGGATTGTTTCTCAAACTTAGGCACTTCGGCTTGTTGGTTTCCTGCTGATTTCCTCTTAAAGCCATCCCAAAAGGGGACCCCTGTTTTGAGAAACACCCGTGTGGGTCTGGACAATTCTTGCGGGCACCTTGGGCCCAGTTTAATTGAACCTTGCTATGTAGCACCCGGGAAATATCTGGCACGGCACACCCGTTGGAAGCCAAAGTGACCGCCAGCAGAATGCCTCCCCCGTGGTTCCCGTTAAGGCCGTTTCCGCCCGAACACGCCTTACGGCCTCAAACTAAGGGGAACCAGGGAGGGTTTGCTGGAGGAAAGCGCTTGGTATTCCGTTTTGAAAGACGTTGTGAATCGAATATTCATCGACACGAATCAATCCGTCCTGAAGGGCATGTTCCCAAGTCAATATTTCGTCGAGACATGACCTATCTGGGTGACACGCGTTCCCTTTGTGGCTGCCCATGGGCTTGGCACCTTGCACTTCGTGCCAAGAAGCCAGTTCGATGAATCATGCTGTGGTGTGGGTGTTTTCGAACATTGTGGCACCAGTTCATTGGTTTGCGCCCTTGCTTTCCTGTGCAACCCGAAACGATCAGAGGGACCCCTTGGCAAATGCACTTCAGGGATGCTTGAGAACGCAGTGTTGTCTTGATACTTTCTTGGGGTACATCAAAGGCTGAAGGCCTTGTGACAGAATCGGCGGGACAGAACCCGTGACAAACCCCCTAATTCGTTTGCAGGACAATGAACCACGTATTCAGGCTTCATCATGAAAGCCAATGGGGCCCAAAATGGCCAAGGAAAGGCCGGAAAGCCCAAAACGACCATGGGTTCATATATGGGCGTATACTTAAGCGTATTCAGGCTTCACTCTGCCTTAACCTTTTCAGAATTCGTAAAATACAAAGGCTGTTGCCAGCACTTTTGAATGGATGCCACATGCCCCCGAAAAAGAACGCCAAACAAAATACACAAATACAGACCCCCACTGGTCATAGGTAGCTAACCCTCCAAAAGAAGAAAACAGGGCACGGCTGGAGGTCTGGCTAAAAGAGTTGAAAGGGCTGAGCTCCGTGGTTGGGACCCCTTCAGGCCTTCCTCTTCTCGTAGATTCCGAAGCGGACAGGCATGAAGGCCTTGACGATGTCCTCGCTATGGCAAATCTCCGGACAACCAAACTGATTTGTGGTATTTGAAGGTACCCTGCAGCCAAACGAAGACCTACACCAAAGGAAGACCAACCATTTGGAGGGGGCCACCTATTCGGGGACAAACCCAAATGGCAAGGTTTTGGACTCAGTCAAACTGACAGAGATGACCATAGCTTGTCAAATCACATGCAGCCCGGCTGGAATTCAAACCCATTGCTTAATTGCTTGAAGACTGCTGTTGTCCTGTGCGGGTGAACGGAACGCAAACATCCACACGTACTACCCTACAACAATCTCCGCGCCAAACGACGCCATTCCTGCAAGCAGCAACCATACAAATGGTGCTGGATTGAACGGATCTTCGTTTGAGCGGTTTGTCGGTGAGAGAGAGAGGCCGCGTGTGACAAAACAAATCACACCTGTCAAGAGAGGTCGCTGACTTCCTAGCATCTTGTCCGCTTTGTGAGAGTCATTGGGGGAAACCAAGATTTGCCCTTACAAAATGAGTCAAAGTCAAAGGGCATCAACAACCAACAGGAAATCTGCAGGTGAACTTGTTCGGGGGTTCAAAGCCATTGGCGGCTCTGCTCGGGCAATAAATGCAACAACGCACAACATCTGAGCAAACTACTGTGCCTTCACTACTCACAAACCGGAAATGAGTAATCCCGAAGTAAGGCATCTTCATTCTGAGCTGCGAGCTCGTTTTTACCTTTGCCCAGAACAAAGTGCAGCTCCAAATGCCGACAATTAGGCGCAAGGCCTCGGGGGTGTCGTAGCGCTGGATCTTGCCCTCGGCGTCGAAGAGCCACATGTTGCTGGTGCTTATACCTGCGGGGGCGATGATGCCATGGGATCTGGGGACACACGAAGAAAACCCAAGACTTATTGATCCTTGCGGCAAGAAAGGGACCTCCTGTGTTGACCGTTTTCTGTGGGGAACTCAAACAACTATGTATACGTGTGTGCGTGCCAGGGCTCCGTGTACGGGCTATATGGTTGTCGTGTCTCCTTTCCCTTGGAGGAGTCTCCCTTACTATTCCCACCAACAGGTCAAAGCGTGCACAAACACAGGGTAGCCCCGATAAAATGAGGTGTTTTCTTGTGGCTTGCCTTTGTGAAAAGGGTCCTGTAGCCTCAAAAAGACACAAACCCAACTCAGAGCATGAACTAGAGTCCTACCCCCTTTTCGCATCCAAAACAGGTTGAGGCTCGAAAACAAAACAAAAAGCAGAGCCCACTGCGCTCCCATCGATAAAGCAACTTGGGAATGGAACAGTCCCTCGCAACCCAAGTTCCTCTCCTGCTCGGCCTCAAACACGCCAAGTGAGAACGCAAGTCTCTCAGAAGCCGCGTGGCCAATCCATATCACAAGATTTGCACTGTGGCCACACGGGTAGCTCTGCGTCCTTTTCTTTTGATGCGCAAAGATCAACGAACGCACCCACATACTGCAAGCCCGTGGCTTGGCATTGCATCTTGCAAGACAGTCTGAGCGGATTGATATCGGGATTGAGAGCGGCTTCGCCCCAATTGAAAATTGGTCCGTCTTGTCCGTGTTGCAAACGCCCAATCTTGGAGTATTCGACAAACCAAACTACGAATCGTCAAAGTCAAGGCGCCTGCCGACTTTGACACGGAGCAAGGACCGTTGCACTAACAGACCGGCGCTCGTCTCATTCCTTGCGGGTGCTGCGCTTGCGGCACGACCTGGCACGCTGTTGATTTGCGCGGGAAGAAGTGACAGGCACCCCAGACCCAACTTTTGGCATTTGGGACCAACGTGGTTATAAAGGTTTACGGGTCTTCACAGTAACCCTCGTGAAACCAGGCAGGACCCGAACCAGCTACTATGGCCCTTTCGGCAGCGGCTTTGAGCGCTCAAATTGCTAAGCCTTTCATATGCTTGCCCACTGATTCTTTGTGGGGGCGGGGGGGGAATGTAAAAAGTCTCAACCTGCCTATATTAAGTAGAAGTGCCCCCCGTGCATCGTCACCTCTGGCTGCAAGGGGGGAATTGCCATGTCCCAGCCTGATCAAAACAAAGAAAACGGTTGGCATGGAAATGAGCCAAGGGCAACTAAAAAGATGCAAACTACTCAGCAACAGTAGGGGCTTGGTTCGGTGGTTTGGAAATGCAAGGGTAGCTTCCCATTTGCCCACAACAAGAGCCAGTTCAAATACCCAAACCACCATAACAAACCACCAAACAGGTGGTTACACGAAATACGCATAGCATAGAACCAAACTCAAAGCATTCAATTCCATCGATGTTCAACCAAACTAACCTAAAAGGATACCATCTCTCAAACACAAATTTGTAAAAACTTGCTTGGATAAATTCGTCTAGCCGTACCCCGTACAATAGCACCGATAGGACAGGGTATGGATACCTCTGACTGCTTGGCAACCCCTTTGGTGCACATCAGATTTGCCTTTTGCTTTTGTGCAACAAGCCAACCATTCTGGTCGCGCCTGGAGGCCCGGAAGAGCACCAGCGCCGCCGCGCACCCCACCAGCGCCACAGGCCACCACCCGACGACGACCGGCGGCCCCGGGCGCTGGCCGGCGGCGGGAGCTCCGGCGGCCTCCGGCGCCGGCGACAGCGCTGCGGCCTCCTGCGTGGTGTGGGCGCGTGCTTGGGTCTACCAACGTAAGTACTTGTAGGTGACAACCATGGTTTTAGCTGGTGTAGCCGGGGTGATCGTCCCCTATAGTTATACCCTACTTACGAGTTGGTTGAACACCCAAGTGAGGGGTGGGGGGCGTGGCGCAACTTTGGCCTTGGGAAGGCCGGACGGCAGCTGGCCTGGAAGGTGACCCGACCAAACATGGCTGCAATTTGTTGTTTGCAAACCCCGCGAAGCTGCCAACCAAAAGAAAACTGGGAAGGCTCTGGAGGTCTTGACGAGCGTCTCCCCCAGAAGGCCAATGTAATGGCACCTGGCTGTCATGAGAAGCATATCTGAGTCGCCCGAATCTACAGAGTAAGGCCACAAAAAGTATGAAACAATGACTCATCGAGCTCTACAAGGTCAAGCCTGTTCAAGCCAAACTTAATTCAGTCCAAACATCAGAGCCGACACAAATCTGTATTGAGATGTCAGGCACTCATTTTTGTATACTGAATCTGTTCAAAGGATCTGGAATGCAAAGGTGCATTTGTTGGGTTACCCAAGATACCCAAACGGGAAATCGGCTAAGAAGCCTGTCCCTATGGGTCTGGCATGCTCGTCAGCGAGATATCCCTTGGAGCCGCCCTTGGAAAGCTCGAAGACTTCAAGGGGTGTGCTTCAAAAACTTGTCGAGAAGCGTACCAACGTGACTTCCTACGACACGATGCTGAAAAACTCGTCTAAGAGTGGCAGCCCAAAGCTGATCTTACCTGAAAAGGGAAAACATGTGCTGGAGTCCTGTGCAAACCACATTCCTGGAGGTTCCAAAACCATCCAGAGGATCATTCCAAAGAAACACGAAACAAGCCTGTGGCTCACTACATTCGGGGTTGTCTCAAAATAGGGAATCCATAAAATGATTGTCCTTTTGGTTTCTTTCTAGGCTCCAATCTAAAAGTGCCCTTAGAGAAACGCCCGGCCCCCCCCCTTTTGGTTGTTAATGTTCCTTTTCGCTGCAACCCCGCCCCCCAACCCCCCCCCAAAAAAAACAAAACAGAAGCAAACACAAACACAGGCAATTGCAACACCCATCCGCGCGCTCCTTGGGTGCCTCCACGGACACAACCACCTCGTCCACCACCATCGACGGCGGGCTCAAGGCCCCCTCCGCCACCGACCGCTGCGCAGCCTCACGCACCTGGCATGGCACCCAGGCGGTTGCCACGACTTTCTGGGCGTTGAAACTCTTGTTTCTAGTTCACCTTCCATGCAACCTGCTTCTTAATCAAAGGGAAGAAAATGAAAGGACACCGTTAAGGAAACCAAACCACGTTGTTCTACTCCTGTGGGTTGGCCAAGAGATACCTCAAGAGGGGTTCAACATGTTCAAAACTATCTCCTTCGGGCGATTTGAATCTGGTTCCCCTTTCTGAGACATGTTGGGACCCCCGAGGGAGATTCGTGGATGCTTCTCGGTGGGCCTGCCTCTGTGGAATTTCCTTGAGAGCACATGTTGGCCATGGGAGAACACGAATGCACTGGCATGCAACATGCCGCTTTCTACGTCTGTAAGCTTGCCGTAGCTTTGCTCTCACACCCCCACCCCGCCCAGTGGATAATTAATTTTGAAAAGGAAGCCAAATGAAAAGCGCCCACTGTGACGTTGAGAGAAACTCAAAATTGGCGACTGTCCAAATATGGACGTTTGCACAAACGAGCTGATTTGCTGTTGGCTTCCATGTAAACACATGCACCAAAAGGGTTCCTGGCATCAGGGTTCCCTCAACGTCCCCTAACATGACCACATCAAAAGGAAGGTCATCTAGTGCCAACCAAGAGCTGAGGTTCAAACGGCCTCCAAAGGAAACGCGTGCAGATTTCGGGGGATGGAGTCGCCAGCCTGGCGCGCTGCCCGGTGCAAGGCGCCCCGCATTGAGGAGACCTGGGCTTCGGTTCCTTCTTCGGTGAACCCGTTCTGCCTACTTGGCCCATCCTCCCGCGCCCGGGCCGCATGGGATTTTGGGTCTTTGTCCCCACCCACCAAGGGGGAACCACTGGAACCGGTGTGAAAATACATTGCACCCCTGTTTTCAGATCCGGGAATTGTGCCATCTAAAGGCACTCATCTGGAATCATGGCGCCCCTTGGATCTGAACAGGTCCACGTCACTTCCGAGCCACGTAGTTCCCAAGCGTCGAGCTTTGCGGGGAGAGGAAGCGCAGGATCCCGCCGCTGCCTGCATCAAGTTGGTCTTCAGAAGCAATGTTGGGTTCTTTGGATCCAGTTGAAGCTCCACATCCCCAATTGAGGCCCCTGCTTTGTCTGTGTAAAGTTCCTGTTATTGTCGTATTAGGTACATTTGGTCACAGAGCATTCCCCATTCCACGCATACCTAGTTGCTCTTCTTTTGAATTGGCTGTTATCCGTGCGGCGTGCGTATATTATACAACGATGTTCAGAAACGAATGTCGGGTAGTGAGGCCGTCTGTTGCCTAGGTCGGAAGGGTAGGGAGAGGGGACCAAGTGGATCCCCATGTGCTCCCCTGTAACTCTAACGGCATCTCAAATCAATCTGTTCCGAGAAGTTCAAGTCTGTGATGATTCCTAAACATTCTCGCCCAGGTCATGTTTGCACAAAGATTTGGGAGCCAGTTGCGTTTGGTCAATGTTCACGCATAGAGTATCTCGGTTGGGCAACTTCACCAAACCTTCAAATCCAGAGACCTCTGGTCCCCTGCCGCTGGTCTTTTTCGCCACCCCCCGGCACTTCCCCAATCTCAACTTGCGGACGAGGGGCGCAGCTGGGTGTACGAAATGCTGGTGCCCTGCAGCCGCTTGGAGTGCCAAAGCACCTCCTGGCGTCGGCCCCGAACTTGGATGGATGTTCCTATCACAACATCTGGGTGTTGTTCAACATAAGAGTCCCCCTAACACGGATGGTTTCCTTTTTAAATAGCCACCACATGTGTTTAAGAACCTTCCATCTTGATGATCTTGGTCCTTTGCGGGTTACTTCGGGGTCTAAGCCCCAGGCAGTAGCAGAAAACACCCTTAGCTATCATCAGGACACCTTTTGCGATCCGCCCCCAAACAAACTGTTCACCCCATGAGTAGACCCCTCAAATTAATGCATGAAAAGGGGCCCCTACTCCTGACTGGTTCTGGAGGGCATAACGCGTTGACCACCGCCTTCGGGTGTCTTCCCATGGGTTTGTGTTTCTTGAGGGTATCGCTTTTTAAGCTTGGTTAAAGGAAAGCCAAAAGGGAAACCACCCGCCCCTTGTTTTGACCTGAGTCCGCTCCACAGTAGATTCCCCCACAACCAATCAGCCTGGGGGTAGTGGTCCTCCCCATGTTTGAATCATCTAAAACGGAACATATAGGGATCCCTGAAGTTGTGTTTGTTTGCTTGAACATAGTGTAGTTCTTTGTAACTGAGGGACTTGTGTTTACCCTGAAGCTTTGTACCAGGGATTTGTGCTTGCAGTTGGGTGAAAGTGGATGGCGCAATTCCGCATGTTCATCCCTGTTACTTACAAACCAACGCATAAGTACATTTCACCATGGACAGCTCAAGCCGGAATGAATAGGACCCCTCAAGCACATTATGACATCCTCAGCGGCTGCCTTTGCTCATCTCCCGAACCTCAGGGAGGGAGCCCACAGCCCAAATAGAAGGCCAAGTAGAAAGCTGCTCCTTCACTCCACGAATTTGCATGGCTCAACCAACTTCAAGAACCTCCGCTGGTCCCGGAACAGCAGATTTAAAAAAAACCTCCCGCACCGGCCGACTGGGTCCCATCCTGCACCGGGGGCGCTGCGCTGGCGGCAGAGGGCGCCTCCACCGTGATGTCCAGCTCCCGGAGCCTCCGAGCTTCAAACCGGACCAACGTGAGATGTGCATCTGGGCCACGATTTGGGCGTCTTTTCTTGGACTTGGAACCCTTTTTGGGGTTGGGTTCAAGGGAAACCAAGAGGAAAACAATCATCATTTTGGGGCGGCTTGCCTTCCCAGAGAAGAGTGGGCCGAGCCTTGGCCAACCTGAAGAGGCGTGTTTGCATGCGAACATGCTTGGCACTGGAAGTGGCAACTTCAACCCCGTGCTCTATGCCCCCAACGAGAACTGGCAGTCGGCTTTGTGCTGCCCCCAAAGCGAGCAGGGCCCCCAAGAAAGACACACCCAAATGGGTATGGGTATGACTTTCTGTTGGAGTTGGTACGCTTTCGGTTGGGAAACCGAAAGGACGCCAATTTGTTTGGAGGGTTCCCTTATCATGTGGGCTGGGGGGAGGGAGGGCTTAATATGGGCTTATTTGGGCACCTCCCCCCCCAAGCCCCCATCACCTTGTACTGAGACAAAGCCGTATGGATGTGGACTTTAATTGGGGACCCTTTGGTGGACATCATGGACCTTGGTGAGGTGGTTCCCTCTTAAAATAATTAACAGACACAAAAAGGGAATGGGGAAACACGGTTGCGCTTGGGGTGGAAAAAGGATGGCCATGAACCCTTTTGGGGAATTGAGACCATTGTAAGGACTCGAATTTAAGAAGCCAGCTTTTGAAAAAGCGGTATACCTAGATATGTATCATAAGGTTTTGTAGATTATAACAGTGGTCTGTGGTTGGTGTGGTCGGTTCACTTCATTCGGCGGTGACACAATTAGCAAAGACATAACCTTGCTGGTTCTCGGTGGGAAGTCAAGAAGGGGTTGGGAATGAAATTAGGAAGGTGTTTCTTTTGAGGGCGCCCTTGTTGGCGTTGGTTAAAAGGCAATTTGACACATGCCCAATGAGCAATGCGCAACACGCAACACACAACCTGCCAACGACACTTGGACTCCAAAGAAAATGAATGCCATGCATCGCACGTATCCTTTTCCCACGCCTGGCCCCGTGCGAATCCCCGCCTCGTTCGGGGGAACAAAGGCACAGCACCCAGCGTGAAGTCCTCTGTAACGCCCGGCGCCTTGCCGTGACCGGAGGCTGGGCGAGCGCCGGCTTCCCATTTGAGGCCTGGTGGTTCCCTCCAATTTGAGGGGCAATTTTTCGGAGATTGCCCATGAAAGAGCCTGAAAGGGTTTGGCTCCCTTGGATGAGTTGATTGCACGCCGCCCCCCTCTGTGTGGAAGAAAAGCTCAACCCGCAAGAAGGTCACCGGGGATGTTCCTGCTTGTGCTTCGTGCAACACTCATGGAAGTGGGCAGGAGCTTGTTGGAAGGCGTCCATCAAAGAAAAGGTGTCCTGACCACAGCCATGATTGGTGGAAAGAGGGTAAGTGGCAGTTTCCCCTGACCATGTGCCCCTTTCTTTGATTGCGGAGACGTTGATTCACAGCCCTTTGACAACTGGAAAGGGCATTAGTATCACCAATACAACCATGGTACTCAAGGACTGATGCGCACGGGTCTCGTGCTGCTCCTTTGGTGTCACATGTCACCATCCCAAAGGGAAGGCAAAAAGTCAAAAGGTCGGCTTGGACAATTGAGGGTTGATTGAAGCCAGCAAGCTGGTGCAAAACGGGAAGCCTTTGGATCGGGTCTCGAGCGAATCAGAAACAATGCTTTACTTGGTATGACTTTCTCAATGTTGAACTTGAAATTTGAATCGAACAAGCTAGCATGTGGCATCAACATTTGCGTATAGGCTTGTTGACGGCGGTTGCTTGTTCAATTCGTGACGAAGTCACGAAGTGGACATTCCTGGATTGGCTATCAAGCGCGTGCTGCATGAAACCAAAATAGTTCATGATCATAGCTAGCACCCAACAACTGCTTCGCCCAAGTCCATTATCCCCAGCACTGTCCAAAAGACAGTTCGGCCCCGAAGGTTTCCGGCAAACTCTTTGCCGCGGTGCGGGCTGATAAAGCCCCAGCGCGCTCAGCACGTACCAGGACCCCATCTCGCCGTTGTCCTCTCCGGAAAACGTCGGGATCAGAGCTGAGCAAGGGACAATCAGGGTTCCTTCCCCCCCAAAAAAAAATGCTCGCCTTCCGTCTTCGCTGGACCTGGTGGTCGAAAATGTAATAGTTTGAGCAGCTTGTGCCCAGAGCGCTCAAGGCCAGAGATTCCTACATTCCGTACAGCATTGCTTTACATACCAACACATGTTTTCCTCCTATAATCGTCACTAAATTTGGTTTAAGAGCTCCCCTAACCAGTATACTAGTTGCCTTTGTCCACCTAGCAGTGAGGGTGAGTCTGAGACTGCGCGACTTCCGCTTCTGCGGTATGCCCCACAAGTGTAGAGGCCATCTGCAAGGAGCCTTGACCCAGTCGCCCAGTGACCCAACCCCTTTTGAGGGTAGACCTTGTTTTGGCGAGTCCCAAGCCAGAACAAAGGGTGACAGTGAAACAACTGGATTGACTCCGAAAGCTGGCGTCAACAACAAAAAGGGGCCGGAGCCTTATTTGGAGGGAAAGCTGCAAGTCGGAGAAAAAAAAAGAAAGATGGAGAAAAAAGAGACGTCCTCATCTCCCGCAAAGCCCTCGGGAGAGTAGGCGCGGGAGAGGATCTCCCTCACCAGCTTGGCCGTCAAGTTCTGGTCCCCCAGCATCGAGAACCTAAAATCAGCTTTGCTCCAAAGGAGTACAGCAATGCCCCAAACCCATTGACTGTTGGTTGCACTAAGACACTTGTCAAGGTTTGTATAGCCCTTGCTACAATCTACATGAAACTCCAGGTAGTAGAATGGAGACTAAAAAATCCCGTCAGTTGGCGTCAGAAAGTTTGTTTGTCCCGCCCGTGTGTCCCCCCATGTCAAGCCGGGATTGCCAGAAGAGGCACTATGACTCGGTTGCTCAACCCTACACCTACGATTTAAACACATAATATGTTCCCTTGTCATCATTTTAGTCCACTGTTGCGGCGGAATCGCCTTGGGCGATGTTCACACAACGACAACGGGCTCATGCATACAAAGGTAACAACTATTCGCCCTTCCCGATGGAGGTTCCAAGAACAATTGCTGGACCCCATTTGATTGAGCCTTTCATATTCATGCTCAGCCCCTCTCCATGGACAAAACAGCTTGCCACGCAGCGGCACTGCCAGCACTCTCTTACGTGCATGAACACATGGGCCGCGGGAAAATGATATCCTTGAATCGTGGTCGTGGCTCTCTTAGAATCCCTTATGGCCGTTGTCCAAATCTATTGAGGGGTCCAATACCATCTGCACCAGGTCCGAGCAAAGGGGTGGTTTGACTGACCATGCATGTGCTCGAAGTCGGGCCAGGCGGCAAGTATGGCAGGTGATGCGTCGGCTGGTTGTTGTGGGCGTATTGGCCTCGGTGAAACCAATGGCTCATCACCCCACACGGCGCTACGCACGGCGATTTGCAGCGATGCCCAACAGTATGTTGTTGTTGTTTTTTTGGGGGTCCCCTGTTTTGACACATGCCCATTTCCTCAAGCCTCGTGACCTCCAATGGTGTCCTTGAGCCCCTTGAGGCAACCCTCCGGAAACTCAGAGGTCTCAGAACCGGTCCCAAAGAGAGACACAGCGCTTCCGGCTTTTGCACTGGTCCAGCGTATTCAGAGCGCATGTTCAGCGTCTTCTAAAACCCTCGCTGTCAGGATCCATGATTGGTAGGGGCAGTATGATTTGATTGCACGCTCCAACGATCAACACAAAACTTCTAAAATGCCCATGCTCGGCGAATCTTCTTTGGTAGATGTTCTTTCCAGCATTCCATGCTAGTTCACATGTTTGTCCCACCAAACATCACTCACGGAAGAAAAAAACACTTCACCGTAGCTAGAAAGAGAGAGAGAGAGAGAGAGTCAGAGAGAGAAACAAAAAAATGGAACCCTAGTAACAGTGTTGAACAAATTCAGGCGGAGTGCATCTCATTTACCTAGCTGAAAATGGGCTGGAACCTGCATCGTGGCGCCAAATCCGTCGCACACATCCCAAAAAATGAGGTTGCGAATAGATCTGCCCTGGTGCCATATCCACCTGAGATTGCCGTCCATGCCCCGAGGTCCATGCCCTCGGGGGCTTCCAGAACCATGCCCTTGTTTGTGTTTTTTGTTTTTTATTAGAGGTCTTAACGGAGAAATATATTGATCGGGACGTTCTCCCACTATAGCCCTATATAAAGCGATCCTCGGTTCTGGATCTCCTGCTTCGGGCGAGCACCCATTTGCTGATTCAGAGCCAACGTACAGGGGAAGCCATTGCAGCCGAATCAATAGTGACTAGTAGTGGTTAGCCATGACGGACCATTGAGGGTCATGACTCAACTTTCCCATGGCCCCTCACAGGGCACAGGAAGGGTTTAAGGACTGTCTCTGAACAGCCGTCTGAATGGTGAAGGCAACAAGATAACACTTGCTGCGTCTTGAATGAAGAACAACAAGAACTATCTGGCGGATGCTTCCTCCAAGCTGCCCATGCCCAGCATCCGCATCTCCCGCATCTCGTGGATCTCCACCTGGGACCACCAGCAGACGATCGGCCGATCGGGGCAGGCAAATGTCTGGAGGGCCAACAAAACTCATGGAATGAATGTATCTATGTACCTGTATATATATATATATCCTATATAATATTATGTGTATACAGATACATATATACATATATATTATGGGCGTATGTATATATACATATTATGTATCCCAGGCACCCTCGTGGCCATGGGCAAAACGGGCACCTTTAACCTCTTCAAACAAGAAAGCATATATATATATATGCTACCCTCCCCCTCAGGTACCCAGGTTTGGGCTTGGTTCAGATGTGCTTTGACCGCGGAAGCAGGCAGGAAGAACAGCTCAGATTTACACACTGGGAGACCAGAGGAAGGAGGTTTGCCTCATTGAAGAAAGACGCCTTGGACGTGACCCATGCCCTTTTTCAATGGCTCTTCCACACAAAATTCAATTCACATATCTTCCCACACAAACCATGCCTTCTTTCAATAGCTCTTCCACAGATAACTCACACATCCTCTCACCCAACACATGTCTTTTTACATGTCTTCTTTCAATGAAACCAAGGCAGCATATGTGAAAGAGTTGCCAAGGAAAGGGAACCCTGTGTAGAATAAAGCCAGGCTATGGCTGGGACAGTTTTTGTTACATGAATGGTGGTTGTTCATGATATTTACTGTTTTTGGTGTACTTTTATGAATCACTGTAACCCTGACTCTTCCACAAAGACTCACATATCATCTCACACAAAACATGTCTTTTTCAATCACTCTTCTCTACAGAAATTCACATATCCCGTCACCCAGAACATGTCTTCTTTCACAAAGGCTCACATATCCTCTCACCAAAACATGCCATTTTTCAAAGGCTCTTGCACAAAAAAATTCGCCTATCTTCCCACACAAGCCCCTTCTTTCAAAGACCCTTCCACAGAATATTCACATATCATCTCACACAAAGCATGTCTTTTCAATAACTCTTCTCTACAGAAAAATCATTCATCCTCTCACCCAAAACATGTCTTTTTACATGCCTTCGATCACAAAGGTTCACATATCCTCTCACCAAAACATGCCTTTTTCAAAGGCTCTTCCACAGAAAATTCACATATCTTCCCACACAAACCATGCCTTCTTTCAAAAACTCTTCCACAGAAATTTCACACATCCTCTCACCCAACACATGCCTTTTACATGTCTTCTTTCAATGACACCAAGGCAGCATATGTGAAAGAGTTGCCAGGGAAAGGGAACCCTGTGTAGAATAAAGCCAGGCTATGGCTGGGACAGTTTTTGCTACATGAATGGTGGTTTTACATGATATTTACTGTTTTTGGTGTACTTTTATGAATCACTGTAACCCTGACCCGCCCACAAAGACTCACGTATCATCTCTCACAAAACATGTCTTTTCAATAACTCTTCTCTACAGAAAATTCACACATCCTCTCACCCAGAACATGTCTTCTTTCACAAACGTTCACATATCCTCTCACCAAAACAGGCCTTTTGTCAAAGGCTCTTCCACACAAAATTCGCCTATCTTCCCACACAAACCATGCCTTCCTTCAAAGACTCTTCCACAGAACATTCACATATCATCTCACACAAAGCATGTCTTTTCAATAACTCTTCTCTACAGACAATTCTTTCATCCTCTCACCCAAAACATGTCTTTTTGCATGCCTTCTTTCACAAGGAATCACATATCCTCTCACCAAACCCATGCCCTTTTTCAATGGCTCTTCCACACAAAATTCAATTCAAATATCTTCCCACACAAACCATGCCTTCTTTCAAAGGCTCTTCCACAAATAATTCACATATCTTCCCGCACAAACCATGCCTTGTTTCAAAGACTGTTCCACAGAAAATTCAAACATCCTCTCACCCAACACATGTCTTTTACATGTCTTCTTTCAATGACACCAAGGCAGCATATGTGAAAGAGTTGCCAAGGAAAGGGAACCCTGTGTATAATAAAGCCAGGCTATGGCTGGGACAGTTTTTGTTACATGAATGGTGGTTTTACATGATATTTACTGTTTTGTTGGTGTACTTTTATGAATCACTGTAACCCTGACTCGTCCACAAAGACTCTTATATCATCTCTCACAAAACATGTCTTTTCAATAACTCTTCTCTACAGAAAATTCACATATCCCCTCACCCAGAACATGCCTTCTTTCACAAAGGTTCACATATCCTCTCATCATGCTCCGCAAATGTTGCGCAACATTTGAAATTTGTTGCGCAACATTTCCCTGGACCAAAAAACAAAAAAACCAAAGAATCCCAGCCATCGTGGGGGCTAGGATTGTTTCTTTTTGTTTTTTTGTTTTTTGGTTTTTTGGTTTTTTGGTCCACAAAATGGCCTTGCAGAAAATGCATGAGTTCAATCAAGATACACTGTCAATATCAATGGTTTTGATACATGATGCAACAACACCTGGGTACTGGGGGGGGGGGGGGGTACCATATATATATATATATATAAATTATACATATATCCACACATATGACTATCTATTTGGCAGTGAAGGATATGTGTTGGATGGTCAGGTTCAAGCCACTATACAAGGGACCTGCCCATGAGAAACATGGGCTGTGGCTTTGGGAACGCCGGCAATTCTTGAAACATCAACCCCCAAGCGAGTTGCTGGTCCCTTTGTTGGGCTTGTCCGTCTTTAGAAAGGAATCAACTGGAACACACGCCTTTTTTATGGTTCACTTGACATCTGAGGCCTTTGAAGAGATGCATGCCCCAGGCAACAAACTGTCAGGACACGGGTCAGGGTGTTGCAGGCGTTGAATGAAACATCCCAGGTGTTCTCAAACAAATGGTTGCCACGCGCGTGTTTCTGGGCTCGGCTGGGTTTCAACAATATGCTGTGTAGTATTATTATCATGCTGGTATAATTCTTATTATAGTTGTTAATTATTATGTTCATGCATCATGTTCATTCATTATCATTGGTTTTGATGGGAGACTTCACTTTCACAACGTGGGATACTCCGGAGAGTGTTACGTTAAACAACACAGGGAGGTTCAACAAGTGGTCACAAGTATTCATGTAAACAACCACCAACCTGTCAACAAGCATGAAGGGTCTTGTTGGAGCAAGAGGCTGAAATCTTGCGGCTATCTGCTTGAATCTCTAGAGGTATGACCAAACTAGGGTTGGTCAATCTCTTCCCATGGCTGGTTTCATATTCGCTTTGAAACCCAAATCACGGCCAACGAGATGCCTGCTGATGTGACACATCCCTATATAAGTTCAGGCCTTCATCACCGTTTACTGGTCAGAAGAAAAGAAAGAAAGAACCCGATATGGATATGAATGATTTGGAGAACGATAATACAGCTTGTCATGCGATTGAAACCGTGACAAAGGTCTTGCAATCATCCTGCGTACTGGAAGACAGCAGGCTGTCAAAGGCTGCGTTCGCTCAATGACCTGCGTGAGGTGCGGCGGTCCTGGCCATGTCCATCAACAGGGCACGCCTTGCGCAAGCAGCACCCGCCGACTGATGCGTCGTTCGTGGCCACTTGGGAATGAGTCCAAAGAAGGACCTCCCTCTGAACGTCCTCCCCTGCAGGCCTCATAATTTCGCGAACTCGCAGGAGAAAAATGAGACAACCCCCCCCCTCATTTCAAAAACACCTTCCCCTGTTAATTTGTGTTCGCCCCGGAGCCACTCCGAACCTCTCCAGAGCGTGGCAAAAACCGCAATGCTTTCTGTGGACCATTTATTTTGGGACTCCCTCAAAAAACAAAAATGGAGGCACCCGTCCAAGCCTTGTAGGAGCCCGTCTTGAACTCCGCAGGCACGGTGAAGAGCGTCCGCAGCTTCTCCAGTAGCTGGGGCCGGCCCCCATGCAGCTCCTTTGCGGGCAACATCTGCTGTAAGGGGCTGAAGACTAGCCACCCATGGCTCACTCCTACCATCATGGATTTACCATGAGTGTTTTTCATTGGCTATCAATCGTTTACTCTTACAATCCTGGCTGAAGCGAGTTGTCAAGCACACAGACCCCTTCTGATCATTTGGGCCTTCTGTTGCCCTGAACATGGAACAAATTGAGAGTCTCCTAGCTTTTGCTGGAATTTGAAGTCCCCCTGTTCCACCCAAAGTGACCCTCCGAATCTCATGTCAAACACCCGGCCCTGGCTCTGGAGGGATTAGGGGAAAAGGGAAGGAAAGGAGGAGACCAGGAGACCAGGAGGGCAGGAGGGCAGGAGGGCAGGAGGGCAGCAGGGCAGCAGGGTGGAAGGGCACAGGCGCATCAGGCGAGGAGGGGAGAGGACCTGGCAAGGAGTCGGTGTCTCCTCCAATCCGCACGCATGGGGTTTGGTATTTGGGCCGGTCCAATCAAGGTGATACCTGAAAGACAAAACACACCAAGAACACAACCCACTCCAACTTCGAGAGGCCAGGAAAACATCCCGCCGGCTTGGTTGTCTCTTTCAAGAAACCCGACTAAGGTTTGTTTTCCTGGCTTGGCTTTGACGGACCAGAAACTGATCAGAGGATGCAAACCCCCTCAAGGAAAAAACAGTTGTTGGCGGCTTCCCGTAACACTCCACGACGGAAACGGGAACAACCTCATCCGCCGTCGGGGCTGTCAGTCAAGGCGCTGCCAGGGTGGTGAGGTCGAAGGGCGGGAAGGAGTGGTGCCAGGCAGAGCCCTGGTGGGACAGGTGTTTTGTTTTTTTTTGTGGGGGGGCTTCCCCGATAATAACACACACCAATTACACATTTTGGGTGGGCTTAGGAACTGAATTTGGGGGGACATCATGATATTGTTCTGAACCACTGTTGAAGGTGTTCCTTGGGAACAAATTCGAAAAGGAAAGCCGTCTTCCAAAGCGGGTGTTGCGCATTTCCAATTTTGTTCTACAAACTTACCACATGTGTGGGTCTTGTTTGCCTGCCAGGTGGTATGTTAGTGGGAGGGTAAACTAACACCCATTTAACATCCTCTTTTTTGGAGGGCTCCCTTTTGAGCTTGGTTTAAGGGGAAACGAAAAGGTTAACCTGCCATTTTGGGGGTGCCCCAATTTTGACGCATACCCATTCAGGAGCCCGCGAACTTAAGCTTCGCAGCCCCAGCCTCAGTGTAGCAGTCCCCCCACGTCTCGGGCGCCTCCTGCACAAAGTCCTGCAACCGATTGATTGACTGGTTGAAGCATCCAAGTCCTGGTTTTGGCGTGCGGGTTGGTTGCACTGTTTAAACAACTTCCGGTTGGTTTCCAATTTAAAGGGGGCCAGTGGGTGATTTCTAGCTTGAAGGTTCCCGGTTGGTGGACAGGAGGGCAGCTGATTGTCGAGAGGGCTTTTCAAGACAGACTGCTGTCTGAACCAATGCAGCCCAGACTATGCAAGCCATGTTCACGCGCCTGAGCCAGGCCTGATCGCCTGCAGCCTCAAACTCGGTCACGCTGCAACTCACACACACACACACACACACCAAGCCCATGGCCCGGTGCGCCAAGCCGCCGCTCAGCCCCACAGCCAGGAGCTTACTCCTGAGCTCATTCCAGTCGCCGCGTTGGCCCCCCCGCGGCTCGAGTTCAAGTTCCTGGCAATCACTTTGCACTGGCCCCGTCATCATTGGCTCAAGCCCGAATTGCTCCTCTGGTTCTTTTGAGTCTGGCCGAGGCAGGCAGCGCGAAGCTGACAGTAAACCACTTGTAAGCTAAGCTCTCACCAAAGGCGTAGGGCATTGGTCAGGTTTGTTGAACAACATTGATTGTGTGGCATGTTTTGAATGCCCTCTAGGAGAAGTCCAGAGTTGCTGAAGCCAACGTACTAATGCCTGAGATTACCCAGTCGGCAAAAGATATATTTCACCATGTGACGGGTATTCTTCAACTTGGGCATTTTAACAAGGTGCGCGGTCTCAGCCGTGTTGTTGACATACAGTTATCATGGTTCTGTACCACAATGATGTGCGCCCCCTGTTTGCTGGCCCTGTGGGCCCACCCAATTATTATCCTCGGATGCCAGAAGCCTTCAACAAGTTGGTTTGAGGGGAACTACACAAGGCAACTACAACAGCTCCCGTTATGGGATGTGATGGAATTGAGCCATGCGATTCTTTTGGGGTTCTGCTTCCTCCAACGCCTAGGAAAAAAAGCTTCATCACGTCGTCGCCAGAATTTGCCCATCGAGCCCTGACGTTGATCCAGGATAAATCAACCCCTGGGGGTGTCCGAGGGATCCTTCGCTTTGGGACACCTCCGCAAACTTGCGCCTGGGTCTTCTTCCGGTGGCCCATCAGCCCGGTCTTGGCATCAAAGAGCTTCCGCAGCGCCTGACAAGCAATCTGACGATCGGAACCATCGCAAGCGAAGCGAGCTTGCAAATGAGCAGCACCCAAAACTCATGGACTTTGGGTCCGACTAAAATGGTGATAACAGTCAGAGCCTCCGGAAGGAAAAGGGAAGTGGCCCGAATGGGAGAAAAAAGGAAGGGCCGAAAGCCAACAAACACAAAGCCAGGAGCTGAGAAGCCAAATCGCAAAAACATGGAATAAGTTTGGGATTGGATTTGAACCCCTGGTTCTTGTTGAGGGTAAATGGAAAGCTTACCTCCAGGACACCTCCAAACACCAAACCAAACCACCGGGCAACATTCATAAACATCACCGCCCCAACAAGAATATCACATGGAGCAGGGTTGCTGCAAATTGCCTTGCCACAGTCTCGCAGCCGAAAACTGGTTCCTGAAGGGAAGCCAAAGGAAACATTGACCAATCTTCCAAGCCGGGTGTTGATCATCCAAAGGCTTGAAGCAACCCTGTTGCTTGGCCTGGGGCACTCCAAGACTCTGACGAGGACAAAACAAATACGGGAATAAGTCTACAGGAAATCAATGCGTTTTTAACTGGGTGTTTGGAAATCCACTTCCTGCAGAAATTCCGGTAGCTGGTTTCAATGAGTTCAGATTCTGTTTCATATTATCCCCTGCCCAAAGGCCCTGTAAATAAATGGTTAACCCTTTGTGACTTTGCCTAAATATGGACCAAAACCGGAAACCCAAAAGTTCAAAGGCTCGGCTTTGGGCAACTAAGAAATTAAGGCTACACTACCCATGCCGAAGACCTCAGAGGGACAATGGTGCTGCTTTTAGATTCCGCTGGAACTTCCATCACCCGATGCCGGCATGTTGGGGAGACCCAGGCTTTAGGTTTGTGCTTATTGAGAGTACCCTCAGGTGGGATTGCAAACAAAGCGAAAGCAAGCCAAAGCCATGTTCCGGAGCCCAGAGCTTGTTCGATGATCCCTTGTCGAAAGTTAAACTTTTAGTGGGATTTGTCAGAAACACCTCTGTAGTTTGGAACCGACCAGAAAGGAGACACGATTTCGCTCAAGGTACCCCGCACCGCCCCCGTGCCTTCTGGCTGCGCTCGCGTAGTTCCAGCGCCTCCTGAGATCGAGTCAACCCATCGCTCACGAAAAACAAACCCTCTCCCGGTTGAAATCATCATTCCCATAACCCAGCCCAGTGATTCCATTTCCCTGTATAGTAGAGAACTGATACAATGGAGCCACCCTTTGAAAAGTACGAGGAAAATGGGTAATTACCTACTATTTAGGTAACAGGGAGCCACTGGGCATGAAGGGCCTGGTCAACTGGCTGTGGCTCAAAAAACCGGTACCAAAATGGAACCCTGGTAAGTGGAAACATGGATCAAAACCTGCGTAACCCCTCCTGTAACTTTGAGCCACACCCAGCTCAACATCAGAAGAAACAAACATGACAGCATGACAGTGTAAATGGCCATAACGTGGCCCTATCAAAGAACGCTTCTTTACCGCTCAGAAAGATATGCTGCCATCTGGGCGAATTATCACATGTCCCACCCTGAAACAAGGCTCACCGAAAAAAAAACCATCGTCATGGGTCCCGAGGCCGCAAACCAACCCCCCTTGCATGCCCGGTTGGGAGTCTTAAAAATTGGGAATCCTGTTTCTCTTTTTCTTTTTGCGTGTGTTTTCCATGTGCAACCCCCCTCCGAAGCAAAGCCATGAAATGGGGTACCCTCAAACAAGACCAACTTCTGGTGTTGATTCGTCTCAAAACCATATTGTTGGAAGCGCCCATGGATGTCTTTGTTAGTGTACGTTTTTGAGGGTTTGACAAGGAAGCAACAGAAAGACGCATGGGTGCGTTTGTTTTTCTTCTGCGGGCACCAATTCTGGGGTTGTTTTATGGGAAACCAAAAGAACAAACATATTTGGGGGCTCCCCATTAGAAAACAAATCCTGAGCAACACCCACAACCCGTTGACTTTTGGCTCTACTAGTTATACAGGTTTAGATGGCTTTAGTATATCTCGGATATTTCACCACATAGAACCTACAAAAACGGCCAATAGGAATATATGTTGGTGTTCCCTTTCTGCAAAATCAACATCCGTTTTCCTTTGGGTGTGCATTTCAACCGAACACACACACACAAATACTTGGTTTCCTGTTGGTTTCCCTTCAAAACCACCCCAAAACCAAAAAGCGTGCAGGACTCGCTGGATTTCTCCCTTCAACACTTGCAGTTGACTGGTGGTTTCCGGAAAAAAGCTGCCCCTTTTGGAGGTCCAAAAAGGGAAATGGGAGGAACCTGCGGTCGAACCTCACCCCCGGGCCTTGGGCCGGCCCAGGCGTCTGGCCACCATGGCGCAGGCCGCGTCCGCGAAGGCGAAGTCCAGCGTCCGGGAGCATGCCTCGGTCGATGTGCGCGCAACGAGAATTCCGTTGGGTCTCAGAGGGAGAGGCCCTAGTTCTAAGAAGGGCCTAAGAAGGGTGTCATTTTTTGGTACTTTGTGAAGCAAAATTGGTCATGATTGTTGTTGGGGAAACTGTTGCGTAACTGTGTCGGCCCTTATATTACCCTGTTTGGGCCTTTGAAGGAAAAGGTGAGCTGGTATGTGGAAGAAACGAGGAGGAGACGGTGAATCTGATCCCGCGCCTTTTCGCGTTTAGCGCTGCATCGCTTGTCCAGGTGAACACTGCGTCTCCCATGCTGGCCACGCGTGCCGACCTTGACTCTTTTTTCCCAAGCTGCTTTTCCATTGCCAGAGCCATTAAGTACGTCGCATGAAGTCGACGCTCTAAGGGGGAAAGCAAGTTGCAAAATGCGAGGGGTTCCCCAAAAACAGTGCGCGGACTCATTGTAGAAGCCGGCTCAAAACTTGGCACGGACCAAGGCACCACCTGCAACCCGCAAGCATGCAGGCTGGTTGCGCCTGTGCTGGGCATCACGCACGTAATCCCAAAGGCGGGCACTCACGCAGCCATTCCCCGCCCCACACCACTCCACCCATCCCCTAAACAGAAGCACAAGAAGTGGATCCCTACTGACTGGCGATTGATCGTGGTGTGTGGCTTTGTCACGGTGCATCAAACTAATTATCGCCCCACCCCACCCGGCCCCACACACTCTGCCACAGTGCCGCAGTCCCGCGAGCATCACCATTGCCCCACACCCCACCCAACCCACCCAACCCACCCTACCGCCCCGCCCCGCCCCGCCCCACCCCACCCCACCCCACCCCACCCCACCCCACGCTCTGCCAATAAGCGCTGCCACCGTGGCCCCACCCCACGCCAACCCATTGCCCCTCCCCACATCAAGAAATCTGCCCCCACCCCACCCCATCCCAGCAAACCCCAAAAGCAGCAATTGTCTGCGGGGTCGTTTTCAACGGCTCCAGCAGAAACAACTTTGCTCTGCCGTTGGGTGACTTGGATGGCAGAATCCCCCCAAATTGGGGAGTACCAGAGAAGGTAAGGCAGTGTCCTTTTGGTTGTAAAGGGTTAGTTGGTAGATTGCACAGTTCTCCTTTTTGTTTGGGTTGAGTCAGAATAGCAAAATGGGAATTGGGTGTCTTTACCCTTTTTGGGTCTTGAGGGAAGTCTTGAAACAATCCCTCAAAACATGACAAACCCCATTAAGCTGGTCATTTGTTTACTTCACCAACCTATGAAAGCAGCCTCCACTTTCCACTTTGGGTGACTTCGCAAGCCCCCCGAAATGACGGAAGTAGATGACCCAATTCCTTTTACGCAAGCAAAGGGGATGACCAAAACCAACATGGAGAAATTGTGGATCTGCTTTCCCTTAACTGTAAGCCCAGGCGGTCTCCCAGCGAGCGAAAAAACGCCTGGGGGGTCAACAAGAAGGAGGAGGGGTCAAATCAAACGAAATAGGGGTTAACAAAAACGGAGGGGGAAAACCGGAGGGAGGTAAAAAGATGTGGTCTTAAGCCCTTTGTTTGCGTGTGTGTGTGCGGGAAAACTGCCCTTTTCGTCCTCCCCGAACTAGCATACGGGAGCCCAACCAATTGGCGGTTTTCCTGTTTGCTCTTGGGCTTCCCATACCCCGGCAAGGGTACCCTCAAAACGTATGTAGGGAACCCTGCGGCGCCTCGCTGATACCCACGTCGATGGGGACGAAGCCATTCGCCTGGGCTTGTTTGCTAAAGGAACTGAACCCAAAATGGGTGGCTTCAACATGGGTGGTTTCAATTGGGTGGAATTGAACCGGAATTCCAAATAAATAGG